TCTTAATTAACGCGTTAGAGTCCCGGCCCTAATATATATATATATATATTAATCATTTTCGGCCTTTCGGCATTCGGTTTTCGGCCAACTGTTTCCTATTTTCGGTCACGAATTTCCCATTCGGTGCACCCCTACTAACGAGTACTGATAAGCTTTATTTTGTTTTGATCCAATGCTGCACAACTGAACTGATCCAATGCTGCTGTGAAAGAAAGAAGCTATATCCATGTAGGATAGAATATCCAATTTAAATAAAAAAATAACCTTAAGGGACAACTTGAATGCCTTTTTTCTTTTTTTTCTCTTAATGCATTGCATAAAGATCGGAATCGGTAAATTTTCAAAATCAAATGATCGGAGCAAAAAAAGGTGATCGGGACATCCCTAGATGATACTATACTTAAATAATCTGTGGAGTCTCAGCTTTAATCGGATATATTGTATGTGCAGTTTCGATAAGTAATAAGGGTATCTTTATTTTGAATTCTGTGCTAAAGTGTGCTAGCATTTTTTTTTTTAAATGAATAAAACCGCACGTCCCTGCGGTGTGAATATCGCGCATGCGCATATCGCGGTTATCGCCATGACACGATATATCGTTCAGCCCCAACTGGGTTGTGAAATTGCACACGGCTGCTGTGCAATAAAAAAGGACATTATAATCACCGCTGTTTAATAAAAAGCGAGCAACATTATCGCTTTCAGTACAAAATCCTTACAAATTGCCCAATTAACCCAATAAAATGGGTTAATAAAGGCCACGTCATGTTTAACAGTATAGTGCTGTATTCATAATACGATGGCGTTCACTGAGGGTTAAAGTGTCCAGTGTTCCACACTCAACAAATGGATGAGTACACCATTCTGGTACTCATAGTACTCATTGTGAACGCACTTATGCACCTGAAATAGCACAGAAATACACCAATTAAGAAACAGTAATGGACTTCATTTGGAATCGCCAAGGGAGTTTATATGGAGACCCATTTTATGAAAAATCTTTTTTGCCTGCTGTACATTATTCCTGTGTGTGTGAGGGATTTTCAAACCAATCCAGGTAGATGCCAAACACTCTGCCTTCTTTAGAGACCACATGTATATAAAGTGCACCACATTTAAACATGATCTGCCTTGGTGCTTGGTGCAGGGTGTGTGACACAACAAAGTGATCCTTTAACCTCGAAAACAAGTCAGAGAGGGTTGACTCATCCCTGCTTAAACCCTGCCAGTACTGGACTGAAAGGCTGTTTCTTAATAACTCCTCAAATTAGCTTTGCTATTTCTTGACTCTGAGCCAGCAAATCTGTTATGTTTTAGAGCAGGGGTGCCCAACCTTTTTTGAACCGAGAGCTACTTTTAAAGTTGCCAAACTGCTGAGATCTACCAGTCAAAATAGACAGGCGTAGTCATTACTGACAGCCTACTACCAGGTAAATACACACTTCTACTTGTATAAAACTGACCTTTGTACAATTAATACTTCATAAAATACTGCAGATCCTTTATCTTACCTCTTTCTAATCTACACACATACAAGTATTTAACTGAAGTTACACAACAGTGTTGTTGATACAGAGTTGGAGTGTATTCACACGTCACATACTACAGTGGGTAATGTTTTCAAGAAACATTGAACAGTGCTGCCACATATGACTAGGGATGTAACGATACCAGGCATCAGCTTTTGGTTGCCAAAACTGAAAATACGGTTGCCATTTTTAGTCACCTTATATTTTAAATAACTAAGATACTATACATCAACTTAATAATGAACATGTGACACAAAAGAATGTTGAAATGCTTTACAATAGTTAATTAACACAATTATTTGAAACTTAAATGGTAGGAAACTTGTCCACCCTCAATTGCTGGTATACAAAACACCAGTAGTGCAGCTGTTGTTCTGTTCTAAACAGATCACTAGTTTCTTGGTCATCTGTTGTCTCCCTTTCAAATGTGGGTTGCCTTGCTGACCCCCACAATAGATCCATTGGCCCTTCAGCATTGAAGTCTTGGATTGGCCAGACTAATACATTTCTAATGTTAAATAAATTAAAACCATTCACAGTTAAGAATTAGATATTAATGCTGTAAATGACCTTTAATATGTCTAACTATATTTAAAATACCTTTTTATAGAAGTGATTTTTATGCCAATATTTTCCTATGGTAAAGTTTCGTTTTGCACTTTTATTTTGGTAGTAATCAGATCGGGACTCTTATTTTGAAGGAACTTTTACCGGAAGTGAATGGACAACGGAGCAGAATGTTTCGCCTCCCA